CTCGATTCCCAACGCCAATCCCCTTTTAGCGATGTGGACCATGCCTCCTCAGAATCTATGCCATCCCCCAGCCAGCTAGCCTCGGCGAGGTGAGCAATCATGACCGCCTACAACTGTTCTGCCTCGATCGACGTTGCCCTCATCGAGCCTTATTTTATCCGGAAACCCTTGGCTATTCAAGGAAAAAGCCGACTCTTTCATTTTTCTCTCATTGGAGCGCGGTCACGAGGCATATGCAGTACATCATGATTTATGGGACAGAGGTTGTCAAAACCGAATAGACGTACGAGATCAGGTTGACGAATCTCCTTTTTCCGACTTTAATAATTTTTATCGCTATCTCTACGACCCGAGTGACATCGACGAGATCATCTTGATACCCTCTACCGTTTCACTAATCAATTCCTACCTTTTGCATGAAAGCAGTCCGCAGTGGTACGAGCATGCGCTGTGACGCTTGGGATTGATTCACACCACTCAAGCCACAGGACTTCTCTTTCCTAATTTGGAGTTCCTATAATTACTTACACATGATTGATTGCATTCGAGGTGTTTGGATCTTCCTGTTTTGGGGTTTTCTGCTCTTTACAAAGTAGCTGGTTTTCCGTTTTGTTCATTTCTTTCCTTTGTGACGAGATTCTGCCAATGAGGGCGAACATGAATGACATTCTATGTACAGTATCGCGTATGGCTGATAGCAACATACTTAGGGCTAGACTGTTTTTTTTTTCTTTCGTTTTATTTTTTTTATCAAGGCTTTTGGATTTGGCATATTGTTGATAGACAAAACGGAACATTGGTTAGCCAATATTTAATTGATAGATTGGAAATGACTGTTTCTGGAGTCAATTGGCCTGACGAATCCTTTGCAATCTTTACCCCTTTTCTTTGTCCCCTACCCTTTTCTTTTTTTTTTGAAGGGAAGGCTTGATCCTTTCATAAGCATTACCACGGTTTGCTTGTCCTCAATCTTGTTATCTTACATTTGACCCCGATGGCAGGTTACCAGAACGTGCGACGTCGACTACTATTCTAGTAACAACTCCGGTTTTAAAAGTGCAGATCCTGTCAGATTCCGCCCAGGGAGGAGGTGGCAAGTAAAAAAGACTGAATAATCAGGGCGATCTCGATGGCGCGAGGAATGACCATGGGAAGACCATTGCAACCCGACCCGTGGACCTGGAAACGAGGCCGGAACACACCGAGCGGTGACGGAAACCGCGCTGTCACCGCGTCATGAGGACCCTAAATTTGGTTCCGGCTGGGCGGAGCAACTCGATTGGGAGCGCTTAAATTGCCGGCCTCGTGGCCCGTTCAAGATCCTTTCCCTCACAACAACTGGGGCTGCATCTGAGAGTCGGTCAACCAGGACTCGTCGTCGTATGTGGCTCCAACCGATCTCGGTGTGTGGCTGGGCCTGGCCGTAGAGGGGGTGGCGCTGTTCATTCTTCATTTCCAGCTGGACAGATACTGTGTACGAGGCATGTCGATCGATCCATCAATGACCGATGTCAGTTTGCCACCTCACCTTTTCGATAATTAACTTATGCAGGTCTAGCTCCGTTGGGCTTTGCCGGTTTTGGCTTTCTTTCCCCTTCTCGTGTTGCAGTGTCAATGCGGGCTGCAGGCGAGACAGATGAGGAAGGACAGCAATACTACATTTCCGACCTATGAGGATTCCTGACCGTGACATAGAGGATCGATCGCTCATGCATGAAGCATGGGGTTGACAGTGGGAAGCCAGTCGGGATCTATCCGATCTATCACATGGCGGTGAATGGCCCTGTGGCTGAGCAGTTGTGGCTCCCGCCTCCCGGATCCGGACTTTCTTCGGACGAAGATCCCCCATCAAGTGATTTGATGTCTATGAGATCGAAAGAATGCGGCCAGCGATGATAACGATCCGGGCCTGGCCTAGGGCTGGGAAATATGTACTTTGTAACTGAAACTGAAAAGGTCTAGGATAGGGGGTATCAACTGAATCACACCATTGGGAAAGGAAATGACTACACCACGAAAAGGTCCAACGGGCATGCAGGTGGAGAAAAGAATAAGCTGGTAATCGCAGTTGCCAGAATGATTATGATTTACGGAACAAAAGAGTGATATACTAACAAGGTAAGTAGCTTTGACCTCAATTCACCGACAGCAGTGCTAGTATTGACATTGACAGAAACCGGTACACCTACATCGACAGGGCAGAAGGGAGACTAACAAAATAGGAAATCGGGCGTATTTACTAGTTGACCGAGAAATTCCCCCTCGGGCTGGACCAAAACCAGGAAACCATCCCATCTGCACACCCCACCACCGAGACGCCCGCAGCAGATCCTCCTCTCTTACCTGGAAAGAAGGATCGCCAAGCCGCGAAAACCAAGCAACTAGCGTTTCCCGACAAGTTCTTGGGGATGCGACCCTGGTACAGTGGGAAGGGGTGGGATCAGAAAGAAATCGCCGAGCAATCCCGTCCCATCCCTGCCGTCACGCCGATAATGAACGAGTCCATAGGTCGTAGTACTGCCGGAAACAGCAGTGTCAGCCTGCAGCGCAGGGAACCGTCAGTGCACATTAGTTGGTACGTCGATGGCTGGAGAGGAACTTTTTTCTGCCAGGTAGGTTTTGGAGAGTCGGTAAGGATCATGCAGGCCATCAGATCCACTCCTCACTAACCTCCATCAGTTCGTTACTCGATTGGCACTTTGCGATAACTAGGGTAAATACTTAATTAAGACAGAGGAGCCACGCACCAGCCACTCGAGGTGGTTAGTGCGATCCACCCGTTGTATTTATTTATTTATTTATTTATTTCTTTTTATTCGATTGTCAATTGGAAAGAAGTCAATCCCTGTTATTTTATTTTATTTTATTTTATTTTCTTTTTGGCGTAAGTTCACCATGCATGCAGCTAATTATTCCTCCACCCTTGAGTCCAATATACCTTCATGTCGATCGACCCCAGAAAACCAACCCGTCAACATACTATCTATAGGATCATCGCAATCCCGTCAAAGCTTCTCGGACCGGTGACTGGGTATAAAAATAATAGTAGTCTCATGCCTGTCGCTTAGAGAGATCGACACATACCTCACATCGTTAATTCAAATATCTGAAATGCAATTCCTGGCCAATCGCATCGCGTGGAACTTAGACCCAGCATAGCAATTGTCAAAAGGCCACCTTCGATACCCAACGTCCTGGTAAATAACCCGCTCACGTTAAAAGTCCGCAAGGGAAGATACCCAGGTAACCACCCAAGGAGGATCATACCTTTTTTTTTTCTAAGCGATGGACTATCTACGCCCTTGAATACGTGATAGCCAGAGTCCCTGCAGTCTCGACTTTCAATGACTCGCGAATTCCAAATGACAGTTTCATTTTGTATTTACTATTTTACTATTTTAAACAAGAAAAGAAAAACCACCCATCTAACAAAAATAAAATAAAACAAAACAAAAAAAAAAAGATGCAAAATGTCACCATCCACCCCCACAAACCAAGTAAACAACCACCACACCACACCGATGACCCTCCATTCAAAAATATGATCCAACACACCAACTACTCCCAAACAAGCGACCGACATTAGTGACCACCTGCAAACTGCGCTGTCACGCCGTTCAGATTTCTACCCGATGCCTCCCGCATCCCGGTATTCGGGATTTGGCCAGGGATATATCATATGCAGGACGTGTGCTTGTACGTGCAGGCGTCGAAAGCGGCCGTGCGTTCGCAGCGAATAGTCCTGTTTCCTGTCCCTCTTTGCTTCCTTGTATACACGTACATACCTACATAACATAATTAAATTACTAGTTTACGTACGATGTATCTTACCTGAGTTACTTTGCTCTGGTTTGGGAATGGTATGGTATGGTATGTATGTATGTATGTATATTGAGTAGGGTTAACTTTGGGATTGCTTTCTTGCATGGTGGTGTGCTGAGTTGTGGGTGTCTGTGCGATGGTAGTATCTGGGTCGCTAGCTAGGAGCTAGTAGCTAGTAGATAACTTACTTGGGCTCACAGCCTCAGAGAGGCATGCTGGGTTGAGTGTTGCGTCATGGTCTGTGTAAGGCTGGTCGCTTTCTCTTCTGTTTCTTGGGGTGTTCTTTTCCTGCTAGTCAGATATAGGGGGTCTGTGCGGTGTGCCTTTCTCTCTCTCTTCTTCTCTGTCTTCCTTCTGTATGGTTCTACTTGCGCCCGCTTTGGCGGTGGGCGAGGTGTATGTGCAGATACGTACGGGTTGAGGTTGGGATCGGGCTCTGCTCTGTTTTCGGGCTCTGGTATATGTTGGTTGGTTGGGTAGGAGGTTGTTGTGTCTAGTGGGTACTGTGGGGTAGTGAGTGAGGTGTTGGAGCGAGATAGAGGAATCTATGTGCTGTCCTTGGAACTATGCTTTAAGATGTTTTTCAAACGGCGTAGAATGAGCTTTATATGTAATTGTGTTTATGTTGTGATATTTGGTTGATGTTAGCACTAGGACTATTGTCGGTGGTTGTATACTTAGCTCCTGCTACGAGATACTCATGCGTGTCCAGTCTTGACTTACTCTTCAGGCTATGGAAGTCTCCGGAGGATGTTTGTCAGCTACTGAGAGCGTCCTATTCCTGTGATCATGGACCAAATAGTGACTATATCAGGCTTTCGACACTGCTACGGTATATCTATACTACTGTACATGCTACTGTAGTTCAGGATAGGTCACTGACAGACGGAGGTAATAGCAATGGTTTTAGTAGTCATATTTGAGATTAACAATTACGTACATGCATGCTCCTGAGTCAGTCTGAAATGACAGAAGAGACATACTCAATAATATGGAGACTTTTCTGCTACCGTCTTTCCGCTGTGCCTTTATCTCTCCGTTGAACTGACTAGCCCTAACGTTCGAATATGAGCCGAGAGCTCCACGACTTCCTCGATACCAACAGTTGAACAGCCCTGATGACTGATATCCAGACGTGCCAAAAGATATACCCCTCCCCCCCAATCGAAACCCCACAATCAACGAAACCCAAGAGCAGGCTTCGTGTAAACTCGACCACCATGCTTAATTTCAATCTCACGAAGATCATGACAAACCATCTGCCGCAGCTGACATCGCACGTCGTCGAACGTCGGCTCCCCGTTCTCATCATCCCAATGAAAGGTCGTACCGTACTTCAGACGGTTTTTGAGCGCCCAAGCCTGATATCCAGAGTCCCGCCGGCCAAGTCCACGCTCCAGACCACTTTCTGCATTCATACGACCCCAACCCAGGGTCTCCGGGATAAGCTCATCCGCCATATCATTCTCACCCCCATCAGTAGTGATATATTCCTCGTCATCAATGACCGTCTCCATCTCGCTCTCGGGGTCAACATCATCACAGTCATGCTCGCTCTCGGACTCAGGCTCACTCAACTCCTCATCCTCACTATATTCATCCCCCACGCAGCCCCAGAACCCTCCTCTCCCGCACTCACTCCCATCCCCAGTCTCATACCCCTCGTCCACAACAGGGTTGACCTTCTTGAGCTTGAACCGGTCATCGCCCCCAAGCTGGATAACTAGCAGACACTCATCCAGGAACGTGGCCATCTTCGCCCACCCCCCGCGGTCCGGGATGCCATCGGGCATCATGGCCCAGAAGGTATACAGCGAGGCATAGTAAACGTAGCGCATATTGAGCGGATCGGATCAGGTTCGCAAACCAAACCAAACGAAAACTAAACTGGACGGTGATGTCGGATATCGGGTGAGGTTATATATGCACCAGCCGATGAATGAATGAATGTCTATGGTAAGTCGGTTTCGAGCAGAGAAGGGGGACGTGGTGGATAAATGCTTTTGTTTTTGGTTTCTTTGTATGACGGTCCCGATTATCTCCATACAGCCAGAAAGAGCGTCCAAAAATAAATAAATAGATGGATGGATAGATGGATAGATAGGTACACCCTCCAAAGGATAGATAGACAGGACGAGATTCGGTAAAGATGGTATCTATATCTATCGCCTTCGACTCCGGGACCGCGTCTCGAGATGATATGATATAACTCCCGCTACCGGCGTGGATGCATGCCTGTGCCGGGCTTGTGATTGTTTGCTGCTGAATTGAATTGTGGTGATTGTCCGGGCCCGTTCTTTGTGAGTCTCGGCGTGCGTGTGGTGAAGGATTTGGTTTTGTTGGCGCGGTGATGTGCGCTTTGTGGTTTGTTGTGTAGAATGGCATTGTGGGCTTTGTGAGGGGGTTCATGGGTTGGAATTGTTTTCTTTTTGAATTCTTCTTTTTTTGTGCTGGTGTACTCTATGGGGATGGGATGGGATGGGGGTTGGACATAGGGGTTGTCGGACTATACATATAATCCTGGCCGGGGTTCTGGGGTTGGGCTCGGGGTATGAGGGATATACGGTTGGTTTAGTGGCGTAGAGACTATAAATACCCAATACTATGCCTATGAAACCGCTTAGTATATATTATAAATAGACTGACTGAAACTTGACTATGCCATCTCTACACCAGACATACTCTACCCGAGCATCAAAACCAAAGCAACCGCAGCAACACTCATATCCAATAGCCCGCTCAAATACTAAACCAAACGCGGCTTCAAACACCCTCGATATACAATAAATGACCCTCAGGCCTAGCTAGTCCTGCATGTCCAGTCCTGGAAAACAAGACAAGTCTGGCTCTTCTCTTCCGTCGACCATGTAATCGAATGAGTGGATGGCGTGCCGGGTTCTTCGTCGCTGGGCTTATCCCAGACGTTGGTTGATATGACTTTGGATTATATATAGGTCTTCTTTGTTATGTGAGACTGGGAAGTGAATGGTTTGATTGTAGGTCTGTATCGTGGCTATATATAGTAGGTTGGCCCTAGGGCTTGTAGGGTTCAGTTATAGTTTACTTGATGTTTTGGTTAATCAACTAACATTATATCACTTGTTACAGCTTATTTATTGAACAGATTGATGTTTTGGGATTATCTACAAAGAGTTATTAGGTTTACTGCTCGGGTAAGAGAGCCCTGGTTCGTGGTTAGGGGTTGATATGCGTCCTGGCTACTTAGGGTCAGTGTAGGGCACGCGGTGACCTTGGCTATCTGGTGCGCTACTTGGTAGGTTCTAGGACCCTCAAGAGATATCTCGTGGGTAATTGTGGTCTTTTGGTAAAGAGGACTTTGTATCATCTGACCCCTAGAATAGGTGCCTAGGATGTGGAAAGACAGGGTACCGTCCGCCCTACGAGTTTACCAATGAAGGTTTCTTAATTTAGTAAGAAAAGTTCAGGTTTACACTACTAGAGGCCGGTGCAATGTGTGGAGTTTATGTAGGTATTGCCTTTGCCGTGTACATAGATCTTTGAGGTCTTCATATAGAATGTCTCGAGTTGTAATGACGAAGTTTAACCCAATAATATGTCCATTAGGTATTGCTACCAGATAATCTATGATGTAACAACCATAGTTTTGATAGTAAGAAAAAGCCCGGCTCAACCAGGTAACCAGAAATCCACCCGCTAATATCAACCAAACAAAGAATCACACAAATGTACGCAACCCAAAAGTCCGAACATACATCCCAAATGCATGCGGTAAACCAATATACCAGACCCAAATAATGTATAAACTGCCGAGTTCAATCCAGCTCGACTGTACTTCGAGAAAGATATATATGCCATCACCAGGTTTCCTAGTCTCATCGTTAGTCATACATCAACAGCAGAGAGATCGTTATCACTTACAGCAATGTACTGGCCAGCTTCCTTCTTGTTGTCCCAGAACAATTTGGCCTCCTCTTCGTTGAGGTTGCCCTTGGCCATAGCCACATCAACGAGAGCAGCCTCAACGCCCTCGCCCATGCCCTTGCCGCTACCGCAAACAAAGACACGTCCGTCCAGCGCGTTGATAACGTACCAGACCAGGTCGGCTTGATGACGGACCTCTTCCTGGACGTACTTGCTTTCACCGCGACGGCTCTGCACCACGGTTCGGACCTTCTCCTCATCGACGCCCCATTCGCCGCGATAGAGCTCGTCCAGCAGGGAATCACGCACACCTTGCAGAACCCACACCTTGTTGGCGCAGTTGGCCGATTGCAAACGGCGCTGGACGAAACCACGGAAGGGAGCAATTCCCACACCAGCACCAATCAGGAGCATGGGGCCGTCCGAATGGAACCGCTTAGCCAGTGGGTTGGCCATCAGGCCTCGGAACATGGGGACATAAAGGTTGAGAGTCGATGGGTCGATGCCCTGACGCTCTGCCTCGACCACTTGTCGTGCCAGCCGCTCAAGATATCCAGATCCTACACCGGTTCGCAATCCGCCCTTCCAGTCATTGGACTCTGCCACACTGACAGCAACTTCAACGAGACGGCGGGATTGGCCATCCTTTTGGGCGGAGGAGAGGAGGGGGTCCTGAGAAAGAGAGTAAAAACGGGGCATCAGGGTGTTGAGAACGGAAAGAAGATGGTCCAAAGGTGGCTGAGAGGAGGGGAATGCGTGTAGGAGTTGAGACACGGAGACATGAGAGGCGGTACGGAGATCACAGAAAGCGCCTTGGCCCTGGGCGGAGGCGAGGAACATGAGAATCTTCTTTTCGTTTGGCTCGCTGGCGTATTCACCCAAAAGACGGAACAGTTCCTTCGAGGGTGAGTAACTCTGGATATCTGAGCACCAGTTCAGGAGCTCTCTGCGCGTTGTGATCAATTCACGGGCTTGGTCATCACCCCAGATAGTGGGCCATCGGCCCGTGCTTGTGCGCACTATAATCTTCTTATCACGGATAGATTTGGGAACTCCAAGGCAGTTGAAGATATCGTTGACCTCCTCCTCTTTGTTCATCGGACACACGCCGATTGCACCGCCAACAACGAAGTCCACGTTGCCACTTTCCGCAGGGTAGTCGGTCACGTCGATGTCGAAATGGTAGGTCCGTTTCTCCGCACCGCTCTTGGTGAGTTCTCGCGCGTGGTGCAGGGGAGCGCGGTATACATTGTACGGGGGGTGGGGTTGGACGAAGGGAGGGGGGTGATCCTTTGGTCCAAGTTGCATCTCCACAGCCGATGCAGGGATCGCTGCAAAGGATACCGTCTTTGCGGGGAGGTCAACAACACCGGTGAGCTCACTATCCACCGTCAGGAGATCGACGTTCAGCTTGAGAGCGTCATAGGCCTGATTCTGAGGTGGAGTCACAACGATGCCGGAGACAGGTCCGTCACCTCGGATCAGGGGCTGGCTACGGCAGCATCCACCGCCGCAACACAACGGCTGAATCTTCTGTGTGCCTGGAGCGCCAACATTTTGCAGGACTCGTTGCATATCGGCGGCATTCTGGGAGATAAGCACGGTCGAGGCTCGGCGTCGATGGCCGGTGCCATTTTCCTCTGACTTCTCGGTCAGGTCTTCAGCGTCCGACTGAGGCTCAGTAGGAACAGTCGACGGGGATCCCGAACTAGGAGTGCTATCGGTGTCCACGGACGAAACATTGAAGCTCATATCCGTCACCGACAGTGACCTCACCCCGCGAGGTTCTTCTGGCACCGGGTTATCCGGATGCGAGGTGGACGACACCGGAATGGCATGGTGATCGCCATTGGGAGTATATGAGGTCTTTGACACCGCCGTGGACCTCGGCGGTGGTGAAGGAACGGCATGTACTGTTATAGCAACTCAGGTCAGCTATATAGTCCGGAGAGTCAATTGGCGATAACCGCCAAAAGGTGAGCCACATACCCATTGTGTCGGTACGTAATTGATACAAGAACGGGGTGATCACTTGTCGAAACAAGGGTACTGGCCAGATCAATCGAGAGCCGGGAACCAGAGACGTGGTGATTGCTTTTCTGGGGACGGGTATGAATTTATAAAAAGGATTGTGCCGAAGAAAGGGGGACGACCAAGCCAAGCGATTGAGGAATGGTCTTAATTAGCAAAAGTGGAAACGACAATGGCCGTTTGACACCGGCAGGATCAGGAGAGCAAATCGGAAGAGTGGACGGGAACGAGTGGGATGAGGTGGGAATTTGTTGACTCCTCGTAGGCGGCACCGGGTGAATGGTTCCGCTATGTCAGCTGAGGGTCGATCATGCAGAGCAGTTCTTCTTCTCTTTTTCTGGGTGAAGAGGAACTTCTGTCAATCAATGCGCAATGTGGATGCGAAATGGGGTGAAAGGGAAAGAAATACTGTTGAGGGGGGGCGCTATCACCAACTTGCAGGACTCGCAAATCAGATAAGGAGTGAAATAAGAATGATGCGAAGGGGAAACAGCCGGAAGAGAGAAAAAATGGGCACACACTCTCGCCACATCGATTTCATTCGCGGTGAGGAAACGTCATTACACTGATCGTACGCGGTGGTAACTTTTCCTTTACCCACTTTTCGCCTTCCGGACGACTGGCCCGGCATTTCGCCGTCCTCCTTCATCCTGCGCTTTCATGGCTGAATGGCTATCCATTATACCTGCCAATTCCGCTGCTTACTATCTCTGTGGGATCATAGGAGGAGAGAGATCCCATCGTTCACGCTCTAGATGTCCGGGGAGCTGACAAGTGTTCGCCAGATCTGCAGCTAAGCGGAATATTTTACTCTAGCGGGGAAATAGACGCAGTCAGATGATCGGGAAAGAGCGGTATAACCAGCCGTGTTGGAAATTACTTTCATTCTCTCCTGGTTTGCATTGATTGGAATTTGGCCTTTCTCTTCGCTATCTTTTGTTCTCTTTCTATCTCTGCTGCGCTGTGATGAGCAATGGCGGTTCCTCTGTGACCATACGACCGAAGGTACCGGTCTGTAACGGAAGGGTAGCCGAATAGATTACCGATCTAATCTGATCCGGCTGCAACCCATCCCTCTTCGGCGGCCGCCCTCGGTTAAGCCGTCGTTCAAGTGTCCTCCACCCGAGGCTGGATGCGTGACATTCATGGTTCATGACTGAATGTCAAGGGGGTTTCATACCCCTTCTGACAATAATATCATGCTTATTATTGCTTGCTAATGGAAATCACGGGGGTCATATGCCTCAGTCACAGACTTTCCTCCATTCTTGGGGTGAGTTCTGTGGATGCACGTGATCCACAAAGTGATGGATCCGGATCAGATAACTTAGTGGATGGCGCCGTTCTTCTCCGAATCACCCCACGCCGGAAGCAGCCAGCACAACCTCCTGAGTTCACAGGAGAATGTGCTCTGAGCCGTGACACTAGATTCTCGGGGGGTGTCCTCCGTGCCCGTGCTCAATTCTCAATTCTCTAAGCTATGCTTCTAAGTCCAAGTTGCTCCTCTCCGTATTCGCAATCGCGTATTTCTCATGATTGCCATGTCCCGTATCAATCAAAGTGGGGTATTCGCCGATGTCGGCGGCTGGATCATATCAATCAGATAGCGACTTAGTTTGGCTATGAAGCTATTTCTAGATTCCGGGGTTGCTGGCCGTTTCCGCTTATGGTATCGAGTACATAATAGACACACACTTCTGCTGCAGGGACTCTCACTATTGCTGCTCTAGCTGCGCGGCTGCCAATCAGACTCCCCCAATGGCCAAACCATCCCTTGGGTGCGCCCGTTCATGCCCAACAAAATGGCGCCTCTGATCTCCTCCACTTGCTTCTTCAGGTTTCTGGAAGGTCAACAGATTTTCCAACGTTGAATCTTTCGTCAGCGGTGGATCAAATTACGTTCATCTCTAGATGCGCCTCGCTATGCTGGTCTTATAAATAGATTCTAGGCCTGCCCCTTGTGGATGATGCCCGTATACAGATGTTGTGTTCAGTCGCATATCGAGATAACTCCACTAATTTATAGTGTGTGCGGGAAACTGTGCACAGTACCATGGATATCGCAAGTTGCGGGCCCCTTCGATGCTCGCGTGTGATCTAGGTATCGACTGGGTAAGGAGGACGGCGCTGTTACGAGTCATCCTGAAGCGCCCGGGTTATCCCTGTTGCGGCTTATCTGATCCTACTAGCAGGACCGGCCGTCTGGGACAAGACAGGCTAAGCAAGGGTGGTTCGTTAGGCCCACAAAGAGCTCTCCACCATCAAATTTCTTCCAAAACTGGTGAAACGCCTCAGCCGATTTGCTGCCCACTCGACCTGTTGGAAAATTTCTCCAGCCCCTTCTCATCATGGTCCAGCAAGATGACTGGAACTAAATAAGATAATGACCTGTTATATTATGCCCTGTGGGAAGAGACTGGCGTATAGTGGTCTATAGAACGAACACCCTTTAAGCTTCCCAAATTTTTCTCTAGTATCTCCGTTCATTTCCTTTCAAACTCGAATGATCGACGGTGCTACAAAGCAAAATCCTCAGCCGACGCCACCATGCGCAATGAATCCTGCATCCCAGCCGCTGGCATCTGACGGGTATCCTACCTTCCTCTCAATCACATTGGCGATTCCTAAAATAGAGCCCCTTACGATGCAAACAACACTGAAGATTTCCCACAACTGTTCCACTCCTAGAGCACATGTAAGATGGAAATCCGATCCCGTCTCATGCCCTTACGGTCAGGCCGCAGAAGTTAAGCTGAGCCTTCGATTTCAATTCCCCATTGGCCACCACCGGTTCGCAGCGGTTTCCGGACAATCCAAATAATACGCAGACCATACGGAGCGTTAACAGAATACGATCGCCGACTAGCATCCAGGCTAGTATTACGCCAAACAGCCTATGACAGTTCTAGAACTCGCCCCAACTCCGACCTACACTAGTGCTCTTAGTGTTCTTTAGTGAAGCTGCAAGTGCTCCACGTAATTTGTTTCTTCAAGAGGGTTTCCTTGGCCTGACGAGACTCGGGTTCCGGACCCGCGCAGGCGACCTGCCAGTTTTGGCTCTTTTACTTTTGTAAGAAAGAGCTACAAAAGTACTGTACCTTAGCCCGAGGGATCGTAGAGCTCGGTAGATATATACTCCGTCTTCTAGGGAGGCCATTCATCCTTGGCGATATTTCGAATATGACGGACCTGAGCGCGTCCTTGGCTGTTGCCACGACCTTGCCGTTCGACCTGTACGGAGGGCCCTCTGTAAGTTTTGGGTATTGCTTTTAGTATCAGTCCATATTGCTGCCCAGTGAGAATGCCTATGACGTCTAAATCGGCACTCGGTATCCGACGTGCGGCCGTGACTCTCGGTCGTTGCCGAGCCTCTCCATCTACCGAGCGTTCAGGCCTCAATCATCTACTCCGCGCGGGGTACAGCGTACAGCCCCCGTTAAGCTTTAGGTACAAGAAGCGTGACGTGCTTAAGGCATTAACGCTTCTGTTCTGCGCTACTCCAGTCAGGTAACTCGCCGAAGTTTTGCCTAGACTTAGTTGACGTAAAATGTTCTCCAGGATCTCTCTTCTCCTGCCTGATTAGATTCTACATGACATGACATATTGTTCCGAAAGGATAACCGTACAGGGTTTGGATTTCCGATGTACATAACATGATTATAGTTTGAACAGCTCGGATATCTGCCGATGAGCCTTCCGATGGATTTCACCAACCCTAATATGTTCTATGCCTGACACTTGCCACTTCATCGCACACGTCGGTCCCCACCTGTATCGCTTAGGGTAGGTGGCTTTCCACCCCGCATCGCTTGACAGAAATGCGGAGTAGACGATACTGGATTGCCGATCTTACGTTGCTGAGGGACAAAAAGGCAATTATTTCCTCAGGAGTTGGTATGGGCGAGGTGGGGTTGGGACCCTTGTGTGGTATCGCCTCTAGTAAATGGTTTGGTTTACTCCGTCGTAGTTGATTTGGTATCCTATACCAGTGTAGTTCAGAGCGTAGACTGTTTGATAGTCGGTTTGTGTCAGGTAGCCTTTTGCTCCTGTAGACTGGGTAGTGATGTATATTTAAGAAGCCGTGATGCTCTTAAGGAAATTTCACTTCGGGTATTACAATTGATTAAATAATAAAGTAAACTTTCTTTTCTGTGGTTATAAACGCTTCAAGAAGTTTATTGCTCGAAGGTGATAAGGATAGATAAGAAGTTGAGGAGATAGAAGAGAAGGAAGAACAAAGAAGTGAGAGGTAGATAAGTGGATGAAGCCTGCTCTCCCACTGTGGTCTAATCAAGTAGGTATATAGTGATGGACGTACCCATAGCTAGACATATCAGTGACAATGTAAAGTATTCATGTTGATATACGGGACCTCACCTATATAGACAAGCACTGGTCGTCCTGGTTCCCCTCTGGCGTCAAAAGGTGTGTCCAGATCAACTAAGGCGTCCACCATTCCTGATATGACGGACACACCAACTATTGAATTTGAGGATGAGTTATCGGCAACATACAATTCCTCCTCGACTCGGCCCTCCCACCTGCCCATGGTTCCCCATCGTCCTATTCCCTAATACGCATCCTCCATCTCAACATCTCCCCCACGGATGTCCTCCATGGGGTCTTCCTCCCCCTCGCCCCACCTGTCGCTGTCTTCCGCATCCCCGTCTCCCATAGGAGTGACGATAGTTTCGGGCTCATGGCCGTCTCTGCAAGCATGATTAGTCCCCAAATGCTTTGTACAGGTTCTAATCCACAAAGTGGAGCTTCCAACCATAGCATGAGTTCTACTTATTCAGCTGTATTACAACTGCCAAGATTGGCATTGTAATAGTAGATATAGAACAAAGAAAGACTGACTTACTCAATAGACATGGCCATAGCTGTAGCACCAAGGCTATCACGACGCCTCTGCATAGATACAGAGCGCTCTCTGTGTCTGGGGACAATATTGGGACGAAT